GCAGACTTTTCTAAAATTAGAATATGGGTAGAGGAGTCATTATCAGACTGGAGCAATTTAAATGGAGTCCAAGAGAAATTGGATTATTTAAAAGTTGCACTATTGAAGGCAACAGAAAATTGCATTAGGCTTGTCAGTAAAAGCAAAAAATTCAAGAAACCAATGTGGTACTCCACAGATGTGGCCAAAATAGTTAAAAACACAAAAGTTAGCATTTAGGAATTATAAAAAAAAAAACAGAGTGAGGAAGACAAAATGATCTATAAGATTAGGCAGAAAGAGGCTAAGCAAGTTATAAGAGCTTCCAAATCACACACACAAGAGAAAATAGCACAGTCAGTAAAAAAGGGGGATAAAACATTTTTTAGATACATAAATGAGAAAAGAAAAGTAAAACAAGGATTAGTTAGATTAAAAACAAAAGAAGGAAGGTATGTAGAAGAGGATAAAGGTCTAGCTGACTGCCTTAATGAATATTTTTGTTCTGTATTTACAGATGAAAATGAAGGAAAGGGACCTCAGTTGAGAAAAAGGATAAATGAGTCATTTATTACACGTGAGTTTACAGAGGAAGAGGTTCTATTTCAACTGTCAAAAGTAAAGACAAATAAGTCAATGGGACCTGATGGAATACACCCAAAGCTATTAAAAGAGCTTAGTGGTGTACTAGCAAAACCATTAACAGATTTATTTAACCAATCATTGTTAACAGGAGTAGTCCCAGAAGACTGGAAGTTAGCGAATGTTGTGCCCATTTACAAGAAAGGTAATAGGGAGGAGTCGGGCAACTATAGGCCAGTAAGCCTTACTTCAGTAGTGGGGAAAGTGATGGAAACCATGTTAAAGGATAGGATTGATGAACATCTAAAAACACGTGGATTTCAAGATCAGAGACAACATGGGTTTACTTCAGGGAGATCATGCCAAACTAATCTTATTGATTTTTTTGATTGGGTAACTAAAATTATAGATCAGGGTGGTGCAGTAGACATTGCTTACCTAGATTTCAGTAAGGCTTTTGACACTGTTGCACATAGAAGGCTTATCAATAAACTGCAATCTTTAAGTTTGGATTCAATATTGTTGAATGGGTAAGGCAGTGGCTGAGTGACAGGCAACAGAGGGTTGTAGTTAATGGAATATATTCGAAGCTTGGACTTGTCACCAGTGGGGTACCTCAGGGATCTGTACTTGGACCCATTCTCTTTAATATTTTTATTAGTGATATTGCAGAAGGTCTTGATGGTAAGGTATGTCTTTTTGCTGATGATACTAAGATATGTAACAGGGTTGATGTTCCAGGAGGGATAAGCCAAATGGCAAATGATTTAGGTAAACTAGAAAAATAGTCAGAATTGTGGCAACTGACATTTAATGTGGATAAGTGCAAGATAATGCATCTTGGACGTAAAAACCCAAGGGCAGAGTACAGAATATTTGATAGAGTCCTAACCTCAACATCTGAGGAAAGGGATTTAGGGTGATTATTTCTGATGACTTAAAGGTAGGCAGACAATGTAATAGAGCAGCAGGAAATGCTAGCAGAATGCTTGGTTGTATAGGGAGAGGTATTAGCAGTAGAAAGAGGGAAGTGCTCATGCCATTGTACAGAACACTGGTGAGACCTCACTTGGAGTATTGTACACAGTACTGGAGACCGTATCTTCAGAAGGATATTGATACCTTAGAGAGGGTTCAGAGAAGGGCTACTAAACTTGTTCATGGATTGCGGGATAAAACTTACCAGGAAAGGTTAAAGGATCTTAACATGTATAGCTTGGAGGAAAGACGAGACAGGGGGGATATGATAGAAACATTTAAATATATAAAGAGAATCAACACAGTAAAGGAGGAGACTATATTTAAAAGAAGAAAAACTACCACAACAAGAGGACATAGTCTTAAATTAGAGGGACAAAGGTTTAAAAATAATATCAGGAAGTATTACTTTAATGAGAGGGTAGTGGATGCATGGAATAGCCTTCCAGCTGAAGTGGTAGAGGTTAACACAGTAAAGGAGTTTAAGCATGCGTGGGAAAGGCATAAGGCTATCCTAACTATAAGTTAAGGCTAGGGACTAATGAAAGTATTTAGAAAATTGGGCAGACTAGATGGGCCGAATGGTTCTTATCTGCCGTCACATTCTATGTTTCTATGTTTCTACACATCATAGAGTAATCCCTACTCTATGATATGTAGATGCTGGGAATTATGGGAACCACGAGGGAGCATGGTAGTTAGCTCCGCCCCCTCCCTCAGTCCTCCTGTGCTGACAGCCGCATGGCTGCCTTAGGCGGCCGCCCGGCACACTCACTGATACTGACAGCAGAATAGCTGTCAGCACAGGAGATGGGGCCGCCAGCTGCAAGGTGGGTAATCACAATATTATTAAAACAAAGGGAGCAGGGTTCCCTCTCTCTCTCTCCAGCCCCCCAGGTGCCGTGGCCCACCGGGAAATTTCCCGTTATCCCGGTGGGCCAGTCCGGCCCTGCCAAGGTGGAGAGAAGACAGTGTCAGAAGAAAAAGAAGACTGTGTCAAATGGAGAATCCAATCAGTAGCTCTCCATTCATAAAAACGTAAAAGATTTTATGAATCGGGAACTAACGATTGGCTTAGAGTGTCAGCTGACCACTCTAGCCAAGCAGCAGCACCCATGCCTGACTTCAATCTGCACTTCCTGACACTCTGTTTCAGAAGCCGAATACCACTGAGCGACCTGGAGATCTGGAGCTGGGGAAGACTTTTGGGGTAAAACCATTTGAGAGTGGTTTAACCCCTTAAAGGAAAGAGAGCACCCAGGGGCCTCCTGACATCATAGCATTTACATTTAGATGAAGTTGTTATGGTGACCAGAATGTTCCTTTAATTTGCTTAAAGGAACACTATAGTGTCAGGAATAAAAAAAATATATTCCTGACACCATAGTTGTGAAAACACTATTCACTCTGGCTTTATGTGATAATGACTATGCTCCTCCCCTTCATGACACTGTCAAAAAGGGGCAAAGCATGGATGTCATTACAATTATGCCCCCCCCTGGAAAAATTCCTGCGGACGCCCATGAAAGTAGATTAAGGTTTTAAACCAATAGACTGTAATGCATAGATTAACCAGTAGGGGGACTCGTAGCCCCATAAGTCCCAAAATAAGTATGGGAACAGTGAATTCACCTAAGTTCGCATGAATATATCTTATGTACAGTGATATTAAACATTTCTATGTGCGTGGGATTTATCTCTATATAGCCATAGAGCATTCGTATATTACCGACCTATTATTATTATGAAGCCGTTCTTATGTAAAAGGAATGAATACTCCGAGAACCATTATTTTACATTGCGTCTAGTTCGTGCAAATGGAGCTGAATGGGACATCCATTCGTGTCAGTTGGAAGTCCCGCAAACTTCCCGGTATCGAGTATATGAGTGAGTGTTCGTGCCTAAGTAGAAACTGAAAACAGCTGAACACAACCAGAGAAACGCACGGGTAAGTAAAACAAATAGACCGAAACCAAGATGATGCTGTGGGAGGCGATGAGGCGCAACGGCTTGGCTTACAGTTCAGTCTGCACTTCTGGGTCAGTTTGGCTCAGCTGGAGGAGGAAGTGGGCTGGAAAGGTCGGAACAAGGTTGGATAAGCTGGACTTGCATCTGAAGAGGGACAACGAGCCGGGAAACAGGACCATAAGGATACAGGTAAGAACTGCAAGATAGCAACTTGTGAAGACCGGAAGTAGTCTCAACTCGCCAGACCAGTAATAGCAAGGAAGAGAGGTTTGGCGACCCTTAAAAGGGGACCCAGGCCCCTCCCACATCTACAGGCCCAGCCTTTAATATATATATATATATATTTATATTTGACTCCATATGCGGATATGTTGCCCCACACACAATATAGACCCATAACTCGAATTCACACTGTGCACCCCTCAGACACTATAAACTTAGACAAACTGCATCCCTCACACACGTTGAACCCCTCACACACACATTGCAATCTTCACACACACATCACCACCCACACATACACTCCACATCTTACGCAGTGCACCCATCACACACACTGCATCCCTACACACACTCACTGCATTCCAGAAACACAGTGCATCAATTACACAAGCTACATTCCAGACACACACTACATCCCTTATACACACTCTGTAGATTCCCCACACACACAATAGATCCATATAGACACCACCCTACACACTCCATTTCTGACATACACACTTTGAATCCTGTATGTACGCAAACACACACACTACATTCCTTAAACACACACTCTCTACAGCCCTTACTCTACATCACCTATACATACATACACTACAGCAACCATGTACACATTCGCTATATCCCTTATACACACACTCTCTCACTCTCTACAGCCCCTAGCCATATTACACCAACAACACAGCACAACTGAAACCAACCTATTTACACAAAACACCACAATCGGCTCACTTTACACACATGCAATCAAACAAGCAGCCTAAAAACAAATACACAATACATTTTCCTGGCCCTTTTGTCCTCTGGTATCCCACTTATAGAGACACCAGAGGCAAGTCACAAGCAAACGCAGCACAAGGATTTCATTAAATTTGCTGGCACTTTGCAGAACAAATAGAGGACCTTTTTTTCATGAGAGATCTTACACAGCTCTCTGGGCATTGTCTTCCCTGGAAGAGCATTGAACCAACATGCTCACTTTGACAGGGGTCGTACTGGTCATTGGTGATGACAAAATATCCTTCTCTGGCCACTGAGATTTCAATAAAATTACCAGTCCTTCCTTGGTGCTATAGCTACATGCTAATAAAAATAAAATAATAATAGAGGTCGGAAGCAGCAAATGTGTGCCCTAAAAAAGAGGTCAAGTCATTCTAGGTTGGTTTGACCTCTAACAATGGAGGTTTGCCAGAGCATACATGACTTAGGAATGAATATATGTGTGTGGCAAATTACATTAGCATGTGTACACAAAGAAAATGAGAAAAATAATTACTTTGGAAATATAATTTTTGAAAGGAAGGTAAAAAATTGAAATTGTCTGCTCTAGTAATACCCAGGTTATGTAGATATAGTTGTCTTTTTCTTTAAGGAGATAATAGGGAATGGAGAACTGGAATGACCACCCTTATTATCTTAGTAACGCCCTTATCTGATACCCATGGATGGTGGGGGAGACGGAGAGGAAAACAACATGTATCCAGTCATTTAAATTGAACACCCAAAGCGTTGGTCCGGAATTTTGTTCTGATGTCGCAGGAATAATCTACAAAAATTGTATATATATATATATATATATATATATATATATATATATATATATATATATATTGTAACACTATAAGAAATAGGGTACCTTTAAATATTTTATTTTCTATTTAATGTATAGACATATGCTTTTGTGGAGGTTCGGTGTGTAATAAACTAAGATAAGTTATCTGGTTTCACAATGGAATGTTATTTACATATCAAAAGAGGTTGTAATAGTTACATATATAGTTACATAGTTTCATAGCTGAAAAGATACTTGCGTCCATCAAGTTCAGCCTTCCTCACATATGTTTTTGCTGTTGATCCAAACGAAGGCAAAAAAACTAGTCTGTAGCACTTCCAATTTTGCAACAAATTAGGAAAAAATATCTTCTTGGCCCCAAAATAGCAGTCAGATGTCTCGTTGGATCAAGCAGCTATTACCCCACTAATTAGAAATTATATCCCTGTATGTTATGTTTTTGCAAGTGTTTATCAAATTTCAATTTAAACATCTGTATGGACTCTCATAAAACCACCTCTTCAGGCAGAGAATTCAATATCCTTATTACTCTTACTTTGCCTTAGATGAAATCTCCTTTCTTCCAGCCTAAACGTCGTGTCCTATGTATAGTCCTGTTTATAAATAGATTTCCAGATAATGGTTTGTACTGGCCCCGAATATATTGTATAATGTTATCATATCCCCTCTGAGGTGCCGTTTTTCCAAACTAAAGCGATTTGAATTTAAATGTTTTAACCTTTCTTTGTAACTAAAAGGAAATCAAAGGATACAGCCTATATTACTTCTTTGGATTTTAGGAATAAGCCTTTCCAGTGTTTATTTACTAACGAATATGTAAGAAATATTGTGAACATCTTTAACATAAAATATACAAAGAGGAGATTGTTATAGAGTGTTGGGGATGGTGGTCAGGGGTGTATATCTGGCACCCAGACTTTTGCACAGCCACTATCCTGACATGTGGGTAAGCACATGCAGCCCCAGGGAAAGTGAAGTTTAAATGTAGGTTTTTTCCTCTGTTATTTGGGTCCCTGGGGTGGAGTATTCGGAAGAGCAGGGTGGGCCGATTCTCCACCCACTGTCAGAGTGGTCGTGCATGAGTCCAGCCCAGGTTTTCCATAGAGTTCTGGCTCACTGCCTAACAAGGTCATTAGCCTCACCTGTCGGGGCTGTGAGCAGCTATATAACTGCAGTTAAAGCAGGGTAAAGTGAGGGAAGTGTTTTGGAGGTGAAAGAAGGTGTTTTTGTGGAGAAAGAAGATTTGCTGTTCATTGTATCTTGTTACTTCACAACAACAGAAAATAAATAGGCCAGAGGCCTTTTTGAAACTGGACTTTGTCTTGGTCTGGTTTTCTTACCCTAGAGGGCTGTGCGGTTGCCAAAGGATCCTGGACAAACACACACAGGAAAGTAAGTTTGTCACAAGATGTATATATAAGTTGCGAGAGTCATGTTATCAGGAGATCAGAATGTCAGAGTAATTAATATCTAGATGTAAACATGCATGTCTTTTTCCTTAAGTCATCCTAGCCTACCCAAAACCCCACCCTAACTGGTCATTGCTTTCAGAATGTTCTAGTATAGCTGGAGGAAGAGATCAAAGGGAAAACTTGTATAAAGACAGAACAGTTCTGGGGCGAGGGAAAAAGGGAAAAACCAAGGAGGTCTTTGGAGGTCTTTTCTAGGGGAGGAGAGCGCGGCAAGCAGAAGTGCTCTGGGTCATGAGACTCACAATATGGTGAACTGATAAATATTGTCCTAAGATGATGGCACAAGGAAAAGATCTTCATTTAAATTTCTGAGTATTGTCATTTTTCTGTGTATCTATTGGTTATGGACTGGATGTGTTTTTAATTTGTTTTTAATCTGTAACAGTCAATACCAATAATAAATTTTTTATACACTTGTATTTGTGTCTTATTTGCCATACTTTCATAATTTCTAACAATACTACACACACAATGTACCTGTTAAAGTGCACATTTTGTGGAAAACAACATCTGGGACAAACTACATGGAAATTTAAAGATAGAATGATCGATTATTGATACAGGAAATGTAATTTGAACCCCCTTACTAGACATTTAAGCGATGCAATTCTTCTGATAGTAAAAGTTTAAAGATACAGGCTGTTGTGGACAAAAATATTAACCCAATTTATATTAGTAAAATGCCTGTTTACTAAACATAACTACAATCAGCATTATTCAACTTTCTATGTGATTTACCTAAAATGGCTGCTAGGGAGTTTCCCTTTCAACATTGACTAACACCCTCATTAACAAGATGGCACTGGAATCTGGGGGAGACCTCCAAGATACCAGTGACATCACCCCCAGTAGGCAGGGCATTAAATGAACCACTTAACACCTAAGCAATTATTGATGTATTATTCCATGTTATCTCTGACAATGCTTATGATGTAATTTTGCTTTATAAGGGACATGTCGTCACCCCTGAATAAACATTCCTCAAGTTTTTCATTAACCCGAAACTTGTGCCTGGTGTGATTTACTTCAGGAGCGTGCACGCACTATTTCTTTAATTTGGCAGGGGGCAGATACGCAAGATATTCAATTTATTGATTGATATCCACATCATTTGGCGCCCAACGTGGGGCACCGGATCTCGCCGGTCCGGTCGGCCGGAAACTGGGACCGGAGCGGACCTCCCGAAAGTAGGACAACCAGAGCCTGATCACCTCCTAAATACAGTGGTTTGCCTGTATTCTCCTGTTTTGTGCCGGTCTGTCTCCGTGTCTACTTCAGGCTTCCAGAAGGCTACAAGACAGGTAATCTCTTATCCGGTGCCTTTTAAATGAACCTGTCGATTGTCTATCTGCCTCCTGAATGTTTGTGTGTGTGTGAGACAGCTGGCGTATGGTTTGTGTTTATTATCATAGCTTGACTGCCTAGCGGGCAGTAAAGGGCTGGGGTTTGACCGCCCAGTAAAGGGCTGGGGACCACCTAGAGAAAGGCTGGGAGTATTGTTGTACTGTTCAGAGTAGAACAGGGTTCATTTACTGTTTAATTATTGCTATGTTCACATTTTTATTGTTCCTTGTTATACTTTGTTTCCTATTCGGTTGTGGTCATAGTGTGGGTACCCTTGTTGTGTGTGTGTTGTGTGGTTCATCCTCGATTCCGGATTATGTGCACATCTCTATATTTGTGACTCCTGTAAATGTCTTTTGATTAGTCTCTCCATGTTCACCTTCTCCCTTATTCTCTATCTCTTCTGTACTTGTTGCCCAGAGCTGTGTTAGTCACCCACGCTCCCCCGGTCAGATCCGTGGCCAACATCTCAGGTGGGCGGATCCTGTGACTAGTCTACGTTTAGGGAAGACGCACAGGAATTAATTCCTCGTGGCAGTCGAGCACTGTTGACATTCCTTCTTTTTCTTCTCTCTATCTCTTTCCCTGTTACAGGGAAAGCCTTGTTTGGTAAAAATGGGGCAGGAACATGCTAGACCTTCAAAGGGTTTCTTAGCTTGTGATATTGTTAAAGAGAGAGCAGGAGAGGAGGCTATGTTAAAAATGAAAAAGATAGCAAAGGTTTGTGGTTTCCAAATGTCACCCAGTGTTAGATTGCAGCCAGAGTTCTGGAGGAAATTGCTCATTGATAAAGAGGGCATACTATTGGATAATGGGTTGGCAAAAGTCGTAGAGGCTTGGTATCGAGAGGACTCAAACGGGAGGGTTGGTCAGAAGAAGAAATTGATTTTGAAGGACAAACGATTTATGTGTATCACAGCCCTATGATGGCACCCAGAATGCTGCAAATGATCCCCGCCCCGCCTCCCCAGACACTGCCCAGTCTCCACCCCCCATTGCCAAAGGCCCTCCTGCTCCCACCACTATGTACCCCGTTCTCGGAGCGGACGGATCTTACTTCCCTCTCCCGTCTTCCTCCACCACACCTCCCATTATCCCTGTTCCCCTCCCACTTCCTGCCCCGCTCCCCAACGATACCGCTTCTCTTCCACTCTCACAAGTCGTTATTGACACCATCCCTCTACCATCTTTCCCTGCAACTTCTCCTTATGCTGTCCCTCCCTCATCATCCTCTACTACTCTTCCTATGGCTCCAATTCCTGTTTCTCCTCCTCCTTCATGTACTACTCCCCCCGCCACATCTCTGGTCTCTCTCCCTGTTGTTCCTTCTGCCCCCATTTCCCCCATGCCGCCTTGCGTGATACCCCCTGTTGTATCCATATTTCCCCCTTCTGCTGTCATTCTTTCCACTCCTGTCCTTGCTCCCCCTCTCCCTGCCGCTCCTTCAGTCCCTGTCCCAGATTCCTCTCCTCTCCCCGCCTCTAATCCTCTCACTTCCCTCGACCTCCCATCTCTTATTTCCGCCCTCTCTGCCTCTCTCGCCTCTACACCTACTCCTACTTCTCCACCCCCTTCCACACCCTCTGTCCCCGTTCCAGATTGTAGCGGAGAGCTGGTATTACACAGCCTATCTCCACTTTAGATCCCAGGGAGGTTCAGGAACAAGCAATTATAAATCCATAGGGTAAAGTATCCAGCAGACAAAATAACACAGCAGTATCCCAACAGCAATCCCAATAACTGGACGACACACAGTATCAGGAGCAGAACTAAAGATTTATTCAGACAGTGGCCTTATAAAGCCTGCTCCCATGCAAGAGAGGGATTTCCATTAATTTGTACAGTAGCCAATCCTGCTCTGGTAACCTCCCACACATCTCCTCCCCTCAGCCTGCATCATAATCCCCTTATCCAGTACACCAATTCCCCCCATTTCTGGATGTACCCCTAAACCTAGGGGTACCACTTTAAATTATACATCCCCTGGTAGCCCTGATCTGGGTGAACAACATATCCAAAAATCACCCAGATCAGACCAGGGGTTCGGGAAATTTATGGAGGGAATAAAATGACCGACCGCACTGGAAAGAACAGCTGAATGGGGTTCCATGCGATGGGGCCCTGCGGTCGGTCCTGGAGTAAGGGAACAAACTGCACGAAA